CATGTTGACATGGATGAACTTACAAAAATGATGCAAAGCATCTGATGTACTATTCTTTTTTTTATAATTGTTGTAAACTTTTAATTTGCAAGTTCAAAAATAACAAAATCAAAAAAGAACTTGTAACTTAATTTGAAGTATTATATATTATTCAATAAAAATATCAAATGAAAGTCTACGGAGCTTGATCCTTACATATTGCCTATTGGTCTTATTAAATAATTTTTTGTAGCCACTTACTTTCAAATTTCAATTTTAAAATTATAAAATTCAAATTTTAAATTTAAAATTTTAAACTTTAAAGTTTAATTCTAAGCCTTAAAAATTTGCAAACACTTAAGTATCAATAACATTGAATAAGAAAAATAAAATTTACTTTAAAAAAAAAATACACGGCCCGCTAACAGCCCTTTAAGCTAGAATCTGGACAGATAAAAAAAACCCGAAAAAATACAGCCTGCTAACTCTGGCCGCAAACTAATTTTTTTTTATGTCCAACGCGGGCCACCTCGCCCGTTAAACATCCCTATCTAAAATAGAGATAACTTTCCTATACACCACTGGTTTCTGTTTTTCTTCTGGGACCCAATCACAAGAGTAGGAGTATATGTTTACTTTTTTGCAAGTGGGCCATAAATGAAGCCTGATTAGGATAAGTCACCGTCCTTATCCTCTCCCACTTTGTATAACTGTTGTCTCCACTTATCTCCTCAATCCCCATACCAAAATTATCAAACAAAATCTTATATTAAAATAAACTCTCTCTGTTTCCTACTCAGTACTAATTTTTCAAACAGGGTATTAGCCAATAGCTTGTTGAATGGACTGTGGCCTCTCCTATACCAAAATTTGCCTTCACCAATCTTTACCTTTTAAGGTGAAGACTACTTTGCTATCATCATTCTCATCATCAACCCCTTCTTCTGTTGGTTGTAGGAGATTGTTGACTGTAGTGGCCAGTGGTAATAGTCGTAGTAGTAAGTGTGAATTCAGTGGTTTAAACGCACCGCTAGAACCGACAACACCGACGGGGAGGTTGTTGAGCACTGTGCTTCTGAATGATCGCAACAACTTTCATGTCGCTGTTCAGAAACAGTTGGAGCACTTAGCGTATGACCGAGATCAAGCTCTGGCTCGGATGTATCTCAGCTTCGGCTCTGATGAAGCTTTTCTCCATAGGTTCGTGCTAATTTTTTTTCTTTCTTTTTCAATATATCTCCTGTTTGCGGTGCTTATCACTTTGCTTTTTCCTTTTTTGATACTTTATGTAACTACTTGGCTTTGTTATCTTTGATTGTCCCCTACTACAACAACAAATTGGCTGCTCCGAAAATATAGTCGGATCCTCCAAAAAGTATGTATTTTTCGAGGATCCGACACGGGTGTATCAGAACAACATAGGTTGGCTGTATGAATCCCTATACTTATGGGGTTATTTGTATAATCTTTAGATAGTTGATTGGTGCTTGGGACCAGCAATTAAAGATAACCCATATAGCAGCTAACTCTGTCTACAAGGCCGGATGAGATATCCATTTTAGCTTCGGTGACTGCTCGGCCACACCCTTTAGTGTTTCAATTATCTCTGTAGTTCTTATTTTCACTAATTTCCTATCCATGTTTTTTTTGTAGTTATTTAGTTTAAAGGTTAAAGGGCAAAGGCTCAGTGCAGCATTCAACTTTCTTAAGTTCTGTTGTAGACCAGTGTAACTCCACTGCCTCTCTTCTCTTGAAGATTGGAAATCTAGAGATAAAAATGTACTTGTAGTGTAAACCTGAAGAATATAAGACTGAAATAGACTTGTTTACATGAATTTGGGTAGGTAGTACATTCAGTGATTTTGTTTCTTAGGTACATAAAATTTCTGAATCTCGCATATAAGTGTCGGTTTCTTTGTTTTAGATACTGAATATAATGGTAGAGAGTAATAGGAACGATTATTTACCAAATCCTTGATTTATTGGGTGTTACATGTTAAGAGGAGGATTCAACTGGATAGACTTGGACAACAGTTGCTGGAGGCTTGGATCAAAACTTACTACGAACAAAAACTCAACCAACCACTAAATTAATGAAAGAGTTGGGAGATATATACACGTACTTAAATATTTACTTGAAGTTGAATAAACCAATTTAATCTCTCTCTCTCTCTAAATCCATAATTTAGCTCTACTTATAAAAGAAAATCCATAATTCAGCTCTATCCACCTTCCTCTTCCACATTTTGAAAGATTCTATCGACTATTCTCTTAAAAATGTTAAGAAGGTTGAGTATGTTTCATCTTTATCTTCGTTCAATTATTGGTTCCTGAGATACCTGGCGCAGTTGAGATGAATTTCTTGTGCTGATGCCATCAGAATGGACAGGATGAGGTGCAATAGAAACTTTCAATTACTATTTTGTGTCAAATTATAATAGCATATGAGTTTCTTGGTTTGGTTTGATTAAGCTCTTTTTTTCCAGTTGAAGAAAGATCACCATGTGTCAGTAAGTGCCTTTGAACTACATTACCTTAGACCGCATTTTTAAGGCAAAGCAATATCATAAAGAGAAGCTTTTGCTTCAGTCAGTCATTATCCTCAACGTCATTGTTGGAGATTATTTGCTTATAGATATGGACTAATTTGTAGCTGCCGTTAGCAAAGTTGTAATTGAGGATGCAATAATTTGCTAATTGATTATGCAGTCCCAGAAATATTTTAATAGGAATGGAACTTTCTGAAACTTGGATAGAGGTACCCAATGATGACATGAGTTGATAAATGTGATGTCGGATGCTGATGTTAAGTCCATTTTTATTGCAATAACCTGTAGCTTGAGATAAACCTACAAAATGGACATGTATCATGCAGTAATACATTTGAATTTGACGTTTGAACTGTAGATGCTCCATGTATATCATCTTTCCTTACGAGAATCTTCAAGTAGATAACGGTGTCGGACATATTGCAGCCTAAGACTTATAGTATATTCCAACATACATAACAGTTCCTTGTTTTCTGTATGCAGTAGATTTTGATATCGTTTTCTGTATGCACTAGATTTGCTTGCTGCTTACTGATTAAAATATTGCTTGTCGCTTGGTATCAGTTCTTGAGGCGTGTTCAAGAGTAGGTCTTGGCTGCAAGCTTATGTGTGCGTTCATCTAATGGCATGACATGTTCTGGGATAGCACATATACTAGAGAAATGCTAGGAGGGAGGGATGCAGCAATGCGTTTAGATAGGGACAGGAAAGAAAAATTGAACAATTACCTTATCAAAAGAAAAAAAATCAAAATTGAACAACCTCACTCTTTTGATGACATTTGAAAGCTTTTTTGACTAGTCAATGAAAAGTAGAGGAGGATAAAGTTCAAGAAAGTCAGGGCATCTTTTAAAATGTCATGGAAAAGTATGATGACATTTTTTATGACATTTTGAAAGCTTTCTTGACTAGTCATGAAAAGTAAAGGAGGATAAAGTTAAAAAATATCTCAGGTTCAAATCTGAAGGCAAAAACACTAGGTGATTTCTTCCCATCTTTCTAAGTCTTGGTGGACAAAATTGTCTGGTACCTGTGCTGGTGGGAGGTAGCAGGTACCTTGTGGAACTAGTCGAGATGCGCGCAAACTTGCCCGGACACTACGGTTATCAACCAAAAAAATGTTTTAAAAAGTTAGGACAGCTTTTAAAATGTCATGGAAAAGTATGTTTGCTTGATTTTGCTCTTCATTCTATTTTACTTTTGCAACACTTATGTGAGGAATGCAACTATTAAACGGAACCACCTGCGGGAGCTGATATAGCCATTATTTAGGTGTCTAACTCATCATCGAAATGATTAAAATAGTATGTAAATGCTGGTTGCGGCACAATGATGGTAGGAGTAGTTGTTTGGACGATTCATCGTTAGATTACCTGATACTTGTTCATCTAGATATAGACTATCTAGTCTCTCCTGTACTAGATTTACTGAAATTTGAATATGATGTTATGCCAGGAGAATAGCTGAAGTAAAAGAGCTGGAATGTCAAGCTTCCGTCGAAGACATTATGTACATTCTAATATCTTACAAGTTCTCTGGAATCAGAGTGCACTTGGTTCCCAAGCTTTCGAAATGCATGTACAATGGCAGACTTGAGATATGGCCTTGCAGGGACTGGGAACTTGAGTCTATCCATAGCTGCGAAGTGCTGGAAATGGTTAGGGAACATCTTACCATTGTTCTAGGATGGAAAGAAAAGTCAAACGTGACCGACAATTGGGCCCCTACTAAAGTACAAAAACTCCAGCTCTGTCGAGTATATGCTGCTTCTGTTTTATTTGGATATTTTTTGAAGTCGGCTTCCTTGAGGCACCATTTAGAACAGAAAGTTGATCACATCAACCGGGACCTTGGTATTGCTGGTTCCAGCCAGCTCTTACTTTCAGAGTTGCGGTCCTTAGGATCAGAGACTGTTCCCTTTGGTCGCATCAGTGGCACACGATCTACATCAGTGGGCCGAATACCACTTGTTCGGGAAAAAAAGCAAGAAAAACTGAAGTATTATGTGATGAGTTTTGATGCAGAAACATTGCAAATGTGTGCAAAACCAAAATCCAAGGAGGCCCTGAATCTGATTGAGAAGCATATTTATGCACTCTTTGGTGATGAAAAGACGGGTCTAATCGCGAGTGGTGGAGTAATTTCTACATCATTGGCAAGTTTGAAGAGAATTGTTTTGGAGGCTATTGCTTTCGGTTCTTTCCTTTGGGATGCAGAAGAATACATTAGGACTGTGTATCAGCTGAAGGAGAACTAACTATCTACTGAGGTTATCATATATGTATATACTATATAGAATCTTTCATGTATCTAATACCAAAGAAATTGTTCTCTGATGTGCATTATCAGAGGATTTGCTTTGTAAATTTGAGTTGTATAGAGTGTCATCCATGTTATGTAAATAAATCATGAATAATGTAAAGCAGTTTCATGATTTTGTATATTGATGTGTGGCCAAACCCTTTAGTTTTTGCCTGTATTAGCAATATGGTTTTATAGGACTAGGTCAAATATATTTGAAGACAGGAAGTCTGTGTCCAGTGACTGCAGCTGTGATTCCCACTCGGATTGTTAAAAGGATGAACATATGGAGGTTGAGATGATCCTCATACAAGTCAACCAATGCAGAGGAATCTCGATCGTATATATTGTTCTTGCATCTCTTCAATATTTAAGAGAGTTGACCCGCTCTTGCCGATGGTTAACAACCAGCAGAAGATTTGTAATGAGATGCTGGAGGCACGAAGAGTTGACAACTGCGTTTGCTTTACTCTTTCCTCCTTTCCTACATGGTTTTGAGGGTGGCATTTTTCCAAATGTTTCAATTGGCAGCCCCCTTCTTGCACAATAAGTAACTCTGGTTTAAGAATTAAGAAATGCAGCAGTAGGTGGTGGTACGAGTATTTTAAGCCTTAATACCTGATAAATGCTTATTTATTCACTTGGTCAATCTCTAAACAAAAACCTAAACTAAAGCTCTTTTCTGAATTGCCTTTTCAAATTAGTTAGCATCTTCCATTTGGTATTATTAGCTTTCCTTAACGACTTGACTTTGTGTTGCTAAAATGTGTGGACAACTACTATATCTCTATCCTGTATACTTAAACCGTATAAACTAATCGCACGAACTCAACCAACTTATTAATTACCCAAACTATTTAAATCATCAATACGTTTATGTTTCCTGTTTTCTCATCCTTCTTCTCCTGTTTAAATGGCGCTTCTCTTCTTGAACACGGTATTCTCAACCTTAGGTACGTTAATCAGCCTCATCATTCGCTTGTTTTTCTCTACATCCTATGCATTCGTGTTCATGATCCAAGCACTAAAAGTTCCTGGCGACGCCATTCAATCTGGATTGCAAGCTGTAGGAGATGCCGTCAAAGCATGCCTTGAATATGTGCTGGATCTTTTGTTACAACTGCTCAGTGCTGCAGCATCTTCTTTCTTTGATCTTCTCAAGAAAAGCCTCGTAGAGGGTTCGTCTGCTATGATCTCAGCCGCGGGAGAAGTCATAGAGAAGTTGAAAACTCCATCAGAAGAGTTGTCAAAGGAATTGTTGGAGGTTTTTGAAGGGCTACAACAGATGATTAGTAAGATTGTGGAAGCGTTGTTGAAGAACTACATGGATGCTGTGAAATATGTCATTCAGAATGCTTAATTAGGCTTAGCTTCACCCCTAAGAAAAATCCAAGGGGAAATTGAGAATTTGACTTTGTACGAGGAGATAAAAATTAGTAATTTATTTAGACTTCAATTTTGAGTTCTTTGATTAGTTGTTTAAATCCTTTTCACATAGACATAATTGCACTATTTATATATTCTGGAATCAGTCAAATTACAGACTTAAATATAAAAATATTAATTGCGTACATACATTAAAACTATGTGTTTGTAGCTATTAAACTATACAAAAATGATAACTCGAGCTGATTTCTGACTAATGGCTTGCATCCACTTGAATTGCTAATGTGACAAAAGCACAATTGCAAGGTACAATCAAAACCTTTGGTTGGTATCTGCATAAATTGGAGCATAGCTGCTTGCAACAAATCAATGCAGAGCAACACTTGATCCTAGAAATTACACTATGAACACATTAATCTTAGTACAGAGTAGTTCAAGAATGTTCGACTTCATTCTATTACAAAATAGTGCTACTTTTTGAATGAGGAAAGTGGTGTAATCAATGATTTTGCATTGTTCTTGGGCTAAAGAGTCAGAAAAATAGCCCAAGAAGATTGAAGCAGAATGAGGAAGGGTATTTGGGAAATCATGTGTTAGAAATCTCATGACGATACTTACATAAATCAGACATGTAGCATGTAAAAACAAAAACAATGCAAGATAAAATATGGACCCCAGATATTGATAAGATTTTTTCTTCATTACAAAACATAAGAAGCTAACATCGGATTGAGTGCAATATAAGTAATTCTTACAATACAATAAAGACATAAAGACAATTAATGTAACTTGATGTCTCATGTAAGTGATTAGTGAATACTCAAGCACGCTCATGGGTCCCTGTCTCAAATTCTCAAAGTGGACTGCATATGACGCTGGCAATTCGAGTGAAACGAACCTGTCAATGAACACTTAAGTAAACTCTTTCCAAGTCATGGGTGGAGCGTCGTGTGGTTGCTCGTCCTTGAGTGTCTCAAACCATGCATTGACAACATCTTTTAGTTGGTAGTAGGCCATCAATCTCACTGCACTATTTTTTTACCCTTAAAACGGATAACAATTAAATTTGTACGCAGTTTAAAGAATATATGGATTGATTCAACACAAGTAATCAAGAATGCTAGATAAACGAATTAAAGATAAAATGAATAACCAAACCAGTAGTGACGTTAAGGTCGGGGTCAGATTAAGGCTGCACAATAGTTTTGTACTCGACCGGACCCTCGATTCGAAGCCAAATGTATGTGAAGAACTATTATTAAAATAAAAACTTTTCAATAGCTAGAAAGCAGAGAAATAAGTTGTATTGCCTTGATATGCATGTTACAATGTGTCTATTGAATAAAAAGCTTCTGCTTTATATAGTAGGAGAGTTTCATCCCTAGTACAATTCTAAAAAAGGTAAAAATTCTCCTTTCTCGTCAATTACTGATACAATATCGATAACAAGCAAGATCCGCGCCGTGATATCCGGTTGGGTGCGGATATCACGGCCCTCTGTTAGTCGTGGGCAACCGTTTGTAGTGCTTTCGGAGGTCTTGGAGTTCGTTCTGGGTTCGGGGAGTGTTGTCTTGTCAGGCTCGGTGGCGAGTACCCCGTTCCAGCCTCGATTCAAAGAGTTTCTAGATTCGATCTCGATCTCATACATTCATACTCTTACTTTATTTGACTTACCGAGAAGTCGGGGTGTGTGCTAACCTCGAGTTCACCTGTATACAGATAGTTCCTTTGTTTCTTAGAGAGTAGGTTCGCCGAAACGATGGGAAACGATAGATGAACCCCTGTTCCTTCCTTCGTATGTTACAACTGAGATGATGAATAAGCCGAAACGTCCCATTAGTCGCGTCGTTCTAACTTCGGACACGTGTCGATCATAGGCTGGTCGCCTCCAAATGTGAAACGTCGCGTATTGATTACATTTTCTCCTATAAAAGCTTCGACCTTCTTCTACTTTCCGATCCTATCTTTTACCTTCGAATTCTCTAGCGGCTTTCAACTCTTTCAAATCTTCATATCTTCATCTTTGATCTTCAAATCTTCATAATTGTTCTTAGATTTCTACCTACCTTCATACTCTTTTCTTCAACCTTCATACTTGTTCATTCAAACCTTCATACTTTTCCTTCAAATCTTTATACTTTCCAGATCACGATGGCTAAGACTTCCAAATTAGTTCCTCAGCAGGCTGCCTCTTCATCTTCCCACCCGGCCATAGATGCCGAGGTGGTTGCTCCCGACGCGGCCCCAGAGCCCCCCATGAAAAGCTTTATACTCGAGGTTGTTCAATCGGGGAAGGATCATGGAGATACATATGCTCCATTATCGAAGATACCCTTCCTATAGTCTGAGAGGACTGTAAATGGGAAGACAAGGACGTCATAGTCCCCGGGCCTAAGGACGATATTACTACCTATGTGGAGGGGTATTTAAGTGTTTACACTTACTTCTTCACGCCGGGCCCGATAGACCCAGTAGTTCTGGCCTATTGTAAGAAGTACGAGGTGTGCCTCGGGCAAATCTACCTGTATCTTTGGAGGATCGTGGTCCTCCTACGTTATTTTGTGAACAACACCGAATCTCCTCAGTTCACCCTCAATCACCTACTTAGTCTACCCAGTCCCCGAACTTTCCGAGGGGGACTAATCAAGCTTGTTCGCCGGGCCAGCAAGGATCCCTTTTTGAGCATCGATGAAGATTGGGACTGAGGTTGGCATAGGCATTTTGTTCGGGTAAAAACTGAAGATCTAATCCCTCCCGAGTTCTTTCCATTCCCTGAGAAGTGAAATGCATCTCGTAAGTGTAGCCATTCCTTAAGTGTCAATTTTCCTTTATTTCCTTTCTCATCACTAGTATTTATGGTCGTGCACTTGTTGCCCGGGTTCCCAATACGGTCCTCCAGCTCAAGGAATGGATTGAAGGAATCTGCAAGCAGATGTCATACTTCGAGCGAGTGTGGCACAAACTTTCGAAGGGCAGATGGGAGGCCCGTTCTCATGGTAAGGCTTTCCCATGAATAGTTATTACTACGCCCCAAATTTAAATAATACTGACTTTTTTCCCTTTCCTTCGCAGGTTTGCCTAAGACCACTGAACTTAGGCCACTTGAAGGGATGAGGATGCGTCCTTATCTGTTGATCCCTCTGTTACGGGACAGTTCGGGGCTACTGTGGGGGAGAAGAAGATAAAAAGAAAGTCCTCGGGCTCTATGCATCCCGAGGTGAGGATAAAAAGAGGGCTACCACCCATACTTGTAAGCCCAAAAAGAATACTAAGTCCCGGGTACGGACTCTGACTCGCTTTCCCCGCTCAGGGATGAGTCTGAAGAAAACAACATCTTTGTCTCTCATGGATCGACCCCTGCCGGGGAGCAAGCAGCAACCGAGGAAAGGAGCCACGAGGCCGATCCCCTTCCAACCCGAGAGGCCGAAGTGGAGACGGGGGTTATGTCCTCCCGAGAAGCCATTTTAGTTTCGAAGGAGGCGATCGGTGTGATAGACATCATCGAGATGCCCTCCTATACCGAGTCCTTGCTTGAAGAGGCCCAAGCGGGTAAGGAAAAGTCAAGCGAAAGAGTTCACGGTGTAGATGACCCTCTCTACTCCTTCTTCGATGGCGTGGACATGTCTACTTTGGAAGAGTGTTTTGGGCTGGGCGACCTAGAAATCCCGAAGAAGGACGTGCGCTCGGAAACGGGAGGGCCAAGTTCAAGCCCAAAACTGGTGAAAGAGTTTCCCGCACTGAGCATGGACCCCGG